GTCCCCACCAGCAGCCAGAGCGGCCTTCTCACAGACCAGCCTTCCTTTTAAAGCCAGCCTTGGGCTCATAAACTAGCTGTCTGACAGCCGGGAGACAGACACAGGCGGCCACCCACGCGCCGGCATCAGGCCAGGGACATGGGAGTCCAGAAAGGGCTGAGGGCAGGCGTCTGCCCAGGACACCCACCTCGGCCTCTGAGTCCTGCTTTCTCCACAGCCCCACCCACCATGTCCTCCACACGGTGCCTGACGGGTCACAGTCCCTCACCCCCTGGGTCTTCCCAGGACGCAGGTCAGCACTAGGAGAACATTCTGGAGGAGCCCACCACAGCCCCTGCCCACCCAGGCACCCCCTCTTGACATCTGAGCCATGGTAACTTCTGCCCAGGGAGGTGAGCACTGACCCCCGCCCGGTGGCAGCCCTGGAGGAGGCTGGATTCTGCAGCCGGCAGCCCCCAGTCCCAGCCAGTTCGGTGTCCCATGTCCCGCCACCGTGCTGGTGACAACTAGGAGAGGCCTACAACTGGGGACCTGCTCTGTCCCCGGTCATCTGGCCGTGAGAAGCCCAAGTTCCTCAGGACACGTGCAGGGCTCCCTGGCCCCACTCCAGCCAGCAGCCTGGGATGTGCAGCCCAGCCGGGACTTCAGGTCACTGCAACCCCGGCAGGAACCACGTGAGGCTCCCCGCTGGCTGCCTGGCAGGCCCTGTCTTCACCTCGAGGCAGCACAGCCCCAGCCCCTACCCCAGACACCTGGTCATGCCGGCACTGTGGGCTTCCTGGGGTGGACGTGCAGACCTACCTGCGGCAAAGATCTGGGCAGCCACGGCCAGGAAGGCGTCAGTCACCACAGTCTCAGAGTGCAGCGAGATGTTCAGCTGGCGGGCCACATTGCGGTAGATGCTGGGTCGAATCAGCTCCAGCTCGTCTCCTGCAGTCACACGGGTGGGTGAGAGGGGCCCACACCTGCCTGACCACCACCCCATTACACGAGCCTGGGGCCAGCCCACTCCTCAGCCCCATAGCCACAGTGGGCTTGAAGACCCTTCCTGCACTGACTGGCCTATACCTGACCCCTACTCAACCCCCACATAGCCCCTGAGGACACGGAGACCAGAGCAGTGCGGTGGGCACCCCCGAACCTTCCCCTGTGGCCCGTCCCTTCTGACGTGCCAGCCCCACCACCTGGGGCAAAGCTGGCTGGGCCGGTAGGGCGGGAATCCCAGGAGGAGCATGGGCCGTGCCTGATGGGTGACTCACGGCTCACAGGGAGCTGCCCGGGCGGCAGACAGGGCAGGCGGCCAGACCCAACAAGGGCAGGGACTTCGACCCACACAGGTGGGCAGCCCTGGCCGCTGCTTCAGAGGCCATCCTCACTCAGGCCCCAGCACCACTCGGTGAACCAAGAAACTGAGCCATCACCCGGGCTCCCAGCACTGCCAGGGCTCCAACCTGTGCCTGTGCCAAGTGGGTGTGTGCGTGGGCGCCACCCTGAAGAGGACAGGCCCTGTCACCAGCCCTGTCTGCTGCCGGCACTCCCTGCAGAGCCCCTGGCAGTGACGTGCCGGGAATTCCACAACCCTCGGACTGGGTGTCCCTCAGCCCAGCCACCTCTCCAGCCAAAGCAAACAGGGAAATGCCGACTGGACAGTCCTGGCTGATAAGGGCGCCAGCTGCACACCATCTAATTAATTAAGATCTGGAACTGAGCGGAACTGAGGCGGGGCAATGAGGGGGCATGGAAATTCCCAGGGATGGCCTGGCTGTTCCCACACAGACCTTGGGGGCTGCTGGGGACTGGTCCCAAGAGACTGACCATGGGACGTGACCAGCTTCTTCCTGTGTGCGCTGTCTCCAGAGCTGGGCGTCTGCTGAGGAAGGGCTGGGAGCATGCTGGGGGCAGGGAGGCAGCGCCAGGCCCCGGGCAGGGTGCAGGGCCCCTCAGCCATCTGGCAGGGGCTGTGCCCCAGGGACTGGACATGGCCAGGGCTGCACACTGGGAAAGGGCCTTGAAGGCCCAGTTTCTGAGAGGGCCAGTGCAGCTACCCAGGCCCAGGCCCAAAGCGTGGGGCTCTCGGGGTGGAACAGAAGACTAAAGGGACAGAATCAGGCCTGTCAGATCCGAAGAGTCCAAAGCAGGACTTCTCAGACGAGCTTGAACAGCAGGGACACATGGCCCAGGGTAGAGGCAGGCCTCCTCCGGGCAGCGCCAGGGGTCCTCTAGAAGGAAGACCCCCCCCAGTGTGGTCCCCACAGCCCAGCTGGAAGGAACAGCAGTGGGCAGCTGACCTCACAGGAGTCCAGGCGCTCTGGACCCCTGGCTGATCCCCAAACCCCACTTACTCTCCACACCTAGAAACCTCTCCCCTCTCCCAAGGCCGAGGTGGGACACCGCCTCCTGCAGCCCTCAGCACAGGGCCCCGTGGAATTTGTGTCTCTCATACACATTCCTGGAAGGCCAGGTACCCATACNGGCCCTGTCACCAGCCCTGTCTGCTGCCGGCACTCCCTGCAGAGCCCCTGGCAGTGACGTGCCGGGAATTCCACAACCCTCGGACTGGGTGTCCCTCAGCCCAGCCACCTCTCCAGCCAAAGCAAACAGGGAAATGCCGACTGGACAGTCCTGGCTGATAAGGGCGCCAGCTGCACACCATCTAATTAATTAAGATCTGGAACTGAGCGGAACTGAGGCGGGGCAATGAGGGGGCATGGAAATTCCCAGGGATGGCCTGGCTGTTCCCACACAGACCTTGGGGGCTGCTGGGGACTGGTCCCAAGAGACTGACCATGGGACGTGACCAGCTTCTTCCTGTGTGCGCTGTCTCCAGAGCTGGGCGTCTGCTGAGGAAGGGCTGGGAGCATGCTGGGGGCAGGGAGGCAGCGCCAGGCCCCGGGCAGGGTGCAGGGCCCCTCAGCCATCTGGCAGGGGCTGTGCCCCAGGGACTGGACATGGCCAGGGCTGCACACTGGGAAAGGGCCTTGAAGGCCCAGTTTCTGAGAGGGCCAGTGCAGCTACCCAGGCCCAGGCCCAAAGCGTGGGGCTCTCGGGGTGGAACAGAAGACTAAAGGGACAGAATCAGGCCTGTCAGATCCGAAGAGTCCAAAGCAGGACTTCTCAGACGAGCTTGAACAGCAGGGACACATGGCCCAGGGTAGAGGCAGGCCTCCTCCGGGCAGCGCCAGGGGTCCTCTAGAAGGAAGACCCCCCCCAGTGTGGTCCCCACAGCCCAGCTGGAAGGAACAGCAGTGGGCAGCTGACCTCACAGGAGTCCAGGCGCTCTGGACCCCTGGCTGATCCCCAAACCCCACTTACTCTCCACACCTAGAAACCTCTCCCCTCTCCCAAGGCCGAGGTGGGACACCGCCTCCTGCAGCCCTCAGCACAGGGCCCCGTGGAATTTGTGTCTCTCATACACATTCCTGGAAGGCCAGGTACCCATACAGCCCCGCTCCCAGGGGCCACACAAAGCAGACAAGCAGACACGCGTGTCCACCTCTCCCCACATTCGACCTCGAGGGGACTGGTCAGGGTCCATCTTTGCTGCCTCCTACTCTCCAAGTGCCCGTTCCAAGAACTGATAATGGCTGGAGGTCAGGACCTCAGTCCCCTTGGTGAGGTAGACTGACTGACTGGGGTAAGGGGTCCAGACCCTGGAGAAGGTGGAGACAGTTACTGGGCAGTGTGACCCCAGAAACAAGTGCGGCCCATCCCCACTGCGGCACCGGCTGTCCTTGGCATCCAGCTGATTTGGCCTCTGAATGGAGACCCAACGGAGAGGAAAGAGCAGCAGGGAACAGGATTTCAGTCAGTAACTGAAAGGACCTATTTTCCAAAACAAACACAGGGATGTGGTCCGACAAAGGATATCTGTGCCCCGCTGAGTACAAGGGTCACTGGAAATGTAGCCACCAAAACATTTTTCCTCCTGCAGCTTTCTGTCCTTCGTGGCCAGACTGTCTGCAGTCTGGGCTGAGCAGACAAGTCGGGGGAGGTCTGTGGGAGGCCTGCAGAGCCAGGGAGCCCGAGGCGGCAAGCACAGGGCGGTGGGGGGAAGGGGGAGCATCGCCTGGGTGGCCGGCCTTGCGCGCGTGGCTATTCCGGGCACCCCCAGGCCAGCCCCCTCTCTGCCCCAGAGGGAGACTGAGGCCCAGAAGCGGAGGGTGCTTGTCAGGTCGCCTGTGTGCCAGCCAGTGCTGATGCGGCTGTCCCCCGAGGCGCAGCGAGCCCTGCCCAGCCGCCCGGCCCGGGAGGGGCAGCCTGCAGACCCGTCCGCCCGAGCCCGCACTCACCCAGGC